CTCCCCAAATCCCCAACCCAGCCCCGCCTCCTCCCCCAAGTGCTCCAAGTTCCCCCTCCTCCTCCCTCCCAGGCTTGCTGCACGAAACGGATGTTTCATGGCGCAAGCGCTGGAAGGGAGGGGGGAGAAGCGGGACGCAGCGGCGCGCTCAGGGGAGGAGGCGGAGGTGAGATGGGGCGGGGTGGGGAGCTGCCGATGGGTGCAGAGCACCCACCAATTTTTCCCTGTGGGTGCTCCAGCCCCTATGGCTGTCACTGCACTAATAGTGAAGGAAAATGTACCAAAATTAAGAACTAAGGCCAATAATGCCTTCTCCATTACAGCAGCAAACGGATATCTGGTCAGATAGCCGTCATACCAATGTACAAATAGTGGGCCAGGCTCAACTTTCCATAGGGCTAGAAAGGCTTTCACTGCATTTATACAGCACAGATAGTAATCTGGTGGGGGTTGGACTAGATGACCTGAGGTCCATTCCAACCCTAATCTTCTATGATTCTATGATAGTCATCCAAGTGTTCTCTTAGCAGCACCAAGGCTGCTTTTCCTGTTTGTTTTCAAATACCTCAAATAGACGCAAAATGCTCTTTGTGTAAACCTTACATCAGTTATTTCTAATGCATGCTTGGACTTGTCCCCTGCTGCCTGTGGCACCCGCTCACTAACCCTAAAAGTACCAAACAAATGCATCTTTAAATAGAACTGCCTCCATCCTAGGTAGAGCATCCAATAACCCTAACAAAATCTGTATTTTTATGCGGTGTTTGTTGTCTTCCCTGCATCTGTCACCTCTGGACCATCTCTCCAAGACCTTCTTTACTAAGAATTCTCTACATGGGTTAGGAACTCCTGCTAGTTCTGCACCAAAAGAACAGACTAGCTAGATGACCAGATATAGTGGATGAAACCAATCAGTGGTGCATCAGATTTCTTGTATCTCATCACCTGATGCTTGGGGACAGGCCAAAGATGCTGGAGGCCTTCCCTAGCACTAAATTCCCTGAACTCAACATGTTGTAAACCCTGAGTTTCCTGAAATGTTTTTTTTCTGCTTAAAATTTCAAATTTTCAGTGAAAAATCAAAACATTTTATTTGAAAACTTTCAATTCAGAAATGCTGCCAAATGCTAGGAGTTGTCATTTGGGTGCTCTATACTCCATTTTCCTCTATGGGCTGGTGTCTCTGGCTGAACTATAATTCTCATGATGTACCATGTTCTCCCTTCTTACTGAGCACTTGCAGTACATCATGGAAGTCACGGGCTGTGAAGTATCGTGGGAGAGGTCATGACTGGGAAACTTCGGCCACAGAGGAGAATGGAGGCATGAAGCAGCCAAACAACAACCCCCAGGAGGCACTGTTGCAATATTCCTAATCAGTTTTTTGTTTGGCTGGGGATTTGGGGGTGGTTCCATTTTTTGACAGAAACTCAAAATTATCTAGTGAGAAAAGACATTTTTCATTTAATCAAAAACCTAATTTTGTCAAAAACCAGTTTCAGTGGAAAATGTTTGATCTACTAAAGGTAAAGCCAATGGAGGAGAGAGAGAATCAGCAGGTGACATCACAGAAACCTACATAATTATACAACCAATTTGCTTACATGACTTATTGACTGGCATTTATTAGGATGCAAAAACACCTAATACTTTGTATAGATTTACATGTAATGCTGACATGTTGTAATAGTTACAACGCTTTTAACTTTTTGAATATTAACTCTTTAAATATTTTGTGACCCTTGCCCTAACATCCTACAATTTAACATTTAAATTGATAAAAATAAAAAAAAGTTCAAAAATAATCAATATCCATCAAAATTATGAAAAAAAAATAAAAATAAGATTCTGTCAATTCTAGGTAATAGTCATGGACTTCATATATTGCCTATTACTACTGAATTTAACTATATGTTTATGCTTTGCATTGAATCCCAAACACCATTGTTATTGTGTATGTAGAGTGCTCAAAAATCTATTAGAATGTTGTGAAATTCTATTTGATCACCAACTTGCCAGAAATAAGGATAAGGGCTGTATTAGCATCTGACCATCAACCTCAGGGCTGTACTTTGTGTGTTTATTTAAAAGGAATACAGTGTCCCCTTTAAAAAAAGAAAAGGAGTACTTGTGGCACCTTAGGGTATGTCTACACTACGGAATAAGGTCGAATTTATAGAAGTCGGTTTTTTAGAAATCAGTTTTATATATTCGAGTGTGTGTGTCCCCACAGAAAACGCTCTAAGTGCATTAAGTGCATTAACTCGGCGGAGCGCTTCCACAGTACTGAGGCTAGAGTCGACTTCCGGAGCGTTGCACTGTGGGTAGCTATCCCACAGTTCCCGCAGTCTCCGCTGCCCATTGGAATTCTGGATTGAGATCCCAATGCCTGATGGGGCTAAAACATTGTCGCGGGTGGTTCTGGGTACATATCGTCAGGCCCCCGTTCCCTCCCTCCCTCCGTGAAAGCAAGGGCAGACAATCATTTTGCACCTTTTTTCCTGAGTTACCTGTGCAGACGCCATACCACGGCAAGCATGGAGCCCGCTCAGGTAACCGTCACCCTATGTCTCCTGGGTGCTGGCAGACGCGGTACGGCTTTGCTGCACAGTAGCAGCAACCCATTGCCTTCTGGCAGCAGACGGTGCAATACGACTGGTAGTCGTCCTCGTCGTGTCCGAGGTGCTCCTGGCCACGTCGGCTGGGAGCGCCTGGGCAGACATGGGCGCAGGGACTAAATTTGGAGTGACTTGACCAGGTCATTCTCTTTAGTCCTGCAGTCAGTCCTACTGAACCGTCTTATGGTGAGCGGGCAGGCGATACGGACTGCTAGCAGTCGTACTGTACCATCTTCTGCCAGGCAGGCAGGCAAGAGATGAGGATTGCTAGCAGTCGTATTGTACCATCTTCTGCCAGGCAGGCAAGAGATGAGGATTGCTAGCAGTCGTATTGTACCATCTTCTGCCAGGCAGGCAAGAGATGAGGATGGCTAGCAGTCGTACTGTACCATCTTCTGCCGAGCAGCCATGAGATGTGGATGGCATGCAGTCCTTCTGCACCGTCTGCTGCCAGCCAAAGATGTAAAAGATAGATGGAGTGGGTCAGAACAAGAAATAGACCAGATTTGTTTTGTACTCATTTGCCTCCTCCCCTGTCTAGGGGACTCATTCCTCTAGGTCACACTGCAGTCACTCACAGAGAAGGTGCAGCGAGGTAAATCTAGCCATGTATCAATCAGAGGCCAGGCTAACCTCCTTGTTCCAATAAGAACGATAACTTAGGTGCACCATTTCTTATTGGAACCCTCCGTGAAGTCCTGCCTGAAATACTCCTTGATGTACAGGCACCCCCTTTGTTGATTTTAGCTCCCTGAAGCCAACCCTGTAAGCCGTGTCGTCAGTCGCCCCTCCCTCCGTCAGAGCAACGGCAAACAATCGTTCCGCGCCTTTTTTCTGTGCGGACGCCATACCAAGGCAAGCATGGAGGCCGCTCAGCTCACTTTGGCAATTAGGAGCACATTAAACACCACACGCATTATCCAGCAGTATATGCAGCACCAGAACCTAGCAAAGCGATACTGGGCGAGGAGGCGACGTCAGCGCGGTCACGTGAGTGATCAGGACATGGACACAGATTTCTCTGAAAGCATGGGCCCTGCCAATGCATGCATCATGGTGCTAATGGGGCAGGTTCATGCTGTGGAACGCCGATTCTGGGCTCGGGAAACAAGCACAGACTGGTGGGACCGCATAGTGTTGCAGGTCTGGGACGATTCCCAGTGGCTGCGAAACTTTCGCATGCGTAAGGGCACTTTCATGGAACTTTGTGACTTGCTTTCCCCTGCCCTGAGGCGCATGAATACCAAGATGAGAGCAGCCCTCACAGTTGAGAAGCGAGTGGCGATAGCCCTGTGGAAGCTTGCAACACCAGACAGCTACCAGTCAGTTGGGAATCAATTTGGAGTGGGCAAATCTACTGTGGGGGCTGCTGTGATGCAAGTAGCCCACGCAATCAAAGATCTGCTGATATCAAGGGTAGTGACCCTGGGAAATGTGCAGGTCATAGTGGATGGCTTTGCTGCAATGGGATTGCCTAACTGTGGTGGGGCTATAGACGGAACCCATATCCCTATCTTGGCACCGGAGCACCAAGCCGCCGAGTACATAAACCGCAAGGGGTACTTTTCGATAGTGCTGCAAGCTCTGGTGGATCACAAGGGACGTTTCACCAACATCAACGTGGGATGGCCGGGAAAGGTGCATGATGCTCGCATCTTCAGGAACTCTGGTCTGTTTCAAAAGCTGCAGGAAGGGACTTTATTCCCAGACCAGAAAATAACTGTTGGGGATGTTGAAATGCCTATATGTATCCTTGGGGACCCAGCCTACCCCTTAATGCCATGGCTCATGAAGCCGTACACAGGCAGCCTGGACAGTAGTCAGGAGCTGTTCAACTACAGGCTGAGCAAGTGCAGAATGGTGGTAGAATGTGCATTTGGATGTTTAAAGGCGCGCTGGCGCAGTTTACTGACTCGCTTAGACCTCAGCGAAACCAATATTCCCACTGTTATTACTGCTTGCTGTGTGCTCCACAATATCTGTGAGAGTAAGGGGGAGACGTTTATGGCGGGGTGGGAGGTTGAGGCAAATCGCCTGGCTGCTGGTTACGCGCAGCCAGACACCAGGGCGGTTAGAAGAGCACAGGAGGGCGCGGTACGCATCAGAGAAGCTTTGAAAACCAGTTTCATGACTGTCCAGGCTACGGTGTGAAAGTTCTGTTTGTTTCTCCTTGATGAAACCCCCCGCCCCTTGGTTCACTCTACTTCCCTGTAAGCTAACCACCCGCCCCTCCTCCCTTCAGTCACCGCTTGCAGAGGCAATAAAGTCATTGTTGCTTCACATTCATGCATTCTTTATTCATTCATCACACAAATAGGGGGATGACTACCAAGGTAGCCCAGGAGGGGTGGTGGAGGAGGGAAGGAAAATGCCGCACAGCACTTTAAAAGTTTACAACTTTAAAATTTATTGAATGACAGCCTTCTTTTTTTTGGGCAATCCTCTGTGGTGGAGTGGCTGGTTGGCCAGAGGCCCCCCCACCGCGTTCTTGGGCGTCTGGGTGTGGAGGCTATGGAACTTGGGGAGGAGGGCGGTTGGTTACAGAGGGGCTGCAGTGGCAGTCTGTGCTCCTGCTGCCTTTGCTGCAGCTCAACCATACACTGGAGCATACTGGTTTGGTCCTGCAGCAGCCTCAGCATTGAATCCTGCCTCCTCTCATCACGCTGCCGCCACCTTTGAGCTTCAGCCCTGTCTTCAGCCCGCCACTTACTCTCTTCAGCCCTCCACCTCTCCTCCCGGTCATTTTGTGCTTTCCTGCACTCTGACATTATTTGCCTCCACGCATTCGTCTGTGCTCTGTCAGTGTGGGAGGACAGCATGAGCTCGGAGAACATTTCATCGCGAGTGCGTTTTTTTTTTCTTTCTAAGCTTCACTAGCCTCTGGGAAGGAGAAGATCCTGTGATCATTGAAACACATGCAGCTGGTGGAGAAAAAAAAAGGGACAGCGGTATTTAAAAAGACACATTTTATAAAACAGTGGCTACACTCTTTCAGGGTAAACCTTGCTGTTAACATTACATACATAGCACATGTGCTTTCGTTACAAGGTCGCATTTTGCCTCCTCCCACCGCGTGACTACCCCCTCAACCTTCCCCCCTCCCTGTGGCTAACAGCGGGGAACATTTCTGTTGAGCCACAGGCAAACAGCCCAGCAGGAATGGGCTCCTCTGAGTGCCCCTGAAGAAAAGCACTCTATTTCAACCAGGTGACCATGAATTATATCTCACTCTCCTGAGGATAACACAGAGAGATAAAGAACGGATGTTGTTTGAATGCCAGCAAACATACACTGCAATGCTTTGTTCTACAATGATTCCCGAGTACGTGTTACTGGCCTGGAGTGGTAAAGTGTCCTACCATGAAGGACGCAATAAGGCTGCCCTCCCCAGAAACCTTTTGCAAAGGCTTTAGGACTACATCTAGGAGAACCGCAAATGCCAGGGCAAAGTAATCCTTTCACATGCTTGCTTTTAAACCATGTATAGTATTTTAAAAGGTACACTCACCAGAGGTCCCTTCTCCGCCTGCTGGGGTGGGTTCGGGGGGTACTGGCTCCAGGGTGAGAAACAGTTCCTGGCTGTCGGGAAAACCGGTTTCTCCGCTTGCTTGCTGTGAGCTATCTACAACCTCCTCCTCCTCATCATCATCTTCGTCCCCAAAACCTGCTTCCGTATTGTCTCCATCTCCATTGAAGGAGTCAAACAACACGGCGGGGGTAGTGGTGGCTGAATCCCCTAAAATGGCATGCAGCTCATCATAGAAGCGGCATGTTTGGGGCTCTGACCCAGAGCGGCTGTTCGCCTCTCTGGTTTTCTGGTAGGCTTGCCTCAGCTCCTTCAGTTTCACGCGGCACTGCTTCGGGTCCCTGTTTTGGCCTCTGTCCTTCATGCCCTGGGAGATTTTCACAAAGGTTTTGGCATTTCGAAAACTGGAACGGAGTTCTGATAGCACGGATTCCTCTCCCCAAACAGCGATCAGATCCCGTACCTCCCGTTCGGTCCATGCTGGAGCTCTTTTGCGATTCTGGGACTCCATCATGGTCACCTGTGCTGATGAGCTCTGCATGGTCACCTGCAGCTTGCCACGCTGGCCAAACAGGAAATGAGATTCAAAAGTTCGCGGTTCTTTTCCTGTCTACCTGGCCAGTGCATCTGAGTTGAGAGTGCTGTCCAGAGCGGTCAGAATGGAGCACTCTGGGATAGCTCCCGGAGGCCAATACCATCAAATTGTGTCCACAGTACCCCAAATTCGAGCCGGCAACGTCGATTTGAGCGCTAATCCACTTGTCAGGGGTGGAGTAAGGAAATCGATTTTAAGAGCCCTTTAAGTCGAAATAAAGGGCTTCATTGTGTGGACGGGTGCAGGTTTACATCGATTTAACGCTGCTAAATTCGACCTAAAGTCCTAGTGTAGACCAGGGCTTAGAGACTAACGAATTTATTTGAGCATAAGCTTTTGTGAGCTACAGCTCACTTCAGCGGATGCATACTGTGAAAAGTACAGAAGATCTTTGTATACACACAAACCATGAAAAAATGGGTGTTTACCACTGCAAAAGGTTTTCTCTCCCCCCACCCCACTCTCCTGCTGGTAATAGCTTATCTAAAGTGATCACTCGCCTTACAATGTGTATGATAATCAAGTTGGGCCATTTCCAGCACAAATCCAGGTTTTCTCCCCCCCCCGACACGTCTAGCGCAGGAATAAGTATCAATTGCTGGGTAGCTGCCATGTATCAGAGGGGTAGCTGTGTTAGTCTGTATCCACAAAAAACAACAAGGTATCTCGTGGCACCTTAAAGATAAACAGATTTGTTTGGGCATACGCCTTCGTGAGTAAAAAAACCACTTCTTGATGTGGGTTTTTTACCCACGAAAGCGTATGCCCAAATAAATGGGTTAGTCTTTAAGGTGCCACCAGACTCCTGTTGCTGGGTAGCTGCGTTCACAAGCAGTGAAAATTGATTTCCAGCTCAGAGACAGAGCAGCGTGGGGCTCCCCAGCCAGGCTCGCTACTCCCGGTGCGTGGGTGGAGACATTGCCAAGCCCCCACTCGCAAAATCCCGGCGAGGAACTCGCAGCAGCGGGAGCTCAGGGGCGCGCGGCCGGCGGCCCCGCACAGCTGCTGCGGCGTGTGCGGTTACAGGCAAGGCCTTCGAGGTAACAGGGTGAAACCCCCGACGTGACGCGCGCGCTTCCTTGCTGGAGCGGTGGAAGCCTGAGGAGGCCGCTAAACTCCGGCCGGTTCCGCTCGGCTGAAGTCACCGGCGCTGGGATGGGAGTGCGGGGCGCCGGCGTCGCGAGCCTGGGGCCTGCCGCTGCGGAGGAGCCCGGTAACGGCGGCAAGGCCCGGGGGGGAGGAGGGGCGGAGAGAGTCCGTTCATCGCGTTTGCGGGGCTGGGGGCCGGGCTCCGCCGTCGCTCGGCACCTGGAGCGTCACGTTCTGCTTCCCAGAGGTCAACAGCCGCCGCTGGGGGCCGGCCGAGCTCTCGCGCATGCGCGGCTACACTGGCTGTCTCTCTTGGTCGCAGGCTGGAGAAATGCGCGAGGTGACGCGGCTGCGCGCGACCCCGGACCAGCGCGCGACCCGGAGCGTGGGCGGAGCCGGAGGAGGAACCGGCCCGGGAGGTGGGAAGGTGACGGCGGCGACCCCGCCCCTCAGGCCGCTCCTCCTCCTCCCTGTCGGGAGCGGGGGGCGGGTCACTAGTGTCAGGTCCCTGCGCCCGTGCCCCGCGATGGGGACCGAGCCCCGGCAGGCGGGGGCCGCTGTCACGACGCTGAGGTAAGGAGGCGCGCGGGGTTCTGCGCCCACGGGCCCTTCCGCGGCCTACGACCCCTCGGGAGCGGCCCGTTGAACGTGCTAACGGGCCCAGGCGGTGATCGGTTTCCACGTGACTCATTTAAATCATCCCGCTGTCCCGGGGAGCGAGGCCGGGGGCGGCGCTTTCCCGTCACGCGGTGGACGGGGCCCCTGGCGCTTTTGAAGGCAGCCCTGTTTGTGCCCGGATTGTAACCCCGGTGTTGTGCGGGGCCAGCTGACGAGCGCTGCCCGCGCCCGCTTTGGCTCGGACGCACCCTCGGAGAGGCTGGATGTTAAACCAATAACCCCGTGGAAACGCAGTCCGCCGGGCGGGGCGGCTGTGTCTGAGCGCCCTTCGTGGGGTCTCGGGGTCGGGCGGCTCTGCTCAGGGGCTGGATGCAGGCTAATGTCCCCTGGGCTGTAATACTTGGGGCTAGTTTAGGTGGTTGGGTTTAGATGATGTTGGGGGCCTGCGATATGCAAGAGGTCAAGGTGCCCTCTGGCCTTATACGCTGTGGATGGTCAAGAGCTGGAAAAAGAAAAGGAGTACTTGTGGCACCTTAGAGACTAACCAATTTATTTGAGCATGAGCTTTCGTGAGTCACTGTGGCTCACGAAAGCTCATGCTCAAATAAATTGGTTAGTCTCTAAGGTGCCACAAGTACTCCTTTTCTTTTTGCGAATACAGACTAACACGGCTGTTCCTCTAAGAGCTGGAAGGCACTTGGCTTGTGTTGTGTTTTGTAAACTTATTCTGTAGTATGCTGTGCAAGCCGCCAGGCCGTGTGGGTTCTGGCACCCTGCGCAGCTCCTCTGGAGACTAGGCTAAAACTCCTCCTTTCCTGCCTCTCACAAAAGACTTTGATTTGGAACTGCAGTTACATGACTGCATCTCAGATCCCTCACATAATGCAACATAGGCCCAACAGGTGTCCGCCTGAGGCAGCAAAATGTTTAGTCACGTGTTAATGGTGTGGGTTTCAACATGGTGTCTCTTAAATTTTCCTGTTGACAAATCAGCCCTGATTCATTCTCTCTTGCATGGAGCTAAAGACTCGCATTTTAGATTTTAATTTTAAGGCCGTTTTTTACAGTCTGGAGGTAGAATTTGCTGGATGCTTCATGAAATATTTTAAGAACTTACTCAAGTCTTTGAATTTTTCTAATTTACATTGCACTGCTTATGACCACTCTGAATTTGCCTGAGGTAGCAAAAAGCCACAGAACCAGCTCTAGTGTTGTACTCCTAACCTTTGGAAATATTGTAGCTAAAATATTTATATGAACGTTTGTTTGGTTAACTCCGTGTATACTGTTGTTGAAATAGCCATGCTGCAGTCTGGCTAATTAGGGAAATGGGTAGTTGCTTCAGCAGGCATAAGATTAGAATCTAAAATAGTGTGTGATTTGGTGAAAGAAGATGTCTGTAAAGAATGTGTTGGGATTTTTTAAATTGTTTTAGAAAAGTAATCAAATTGTTGACTTAACTGGTTAACCATAGCAGATTTTGTGCTGTATGAGAAAAGTGAATATTTCCTTTGTATTTAACTCCTTCAGCTTTTGCCTGTTCATGACATCTGTCATTCTTACTAACATTGGTATACCTGGAATGTTCAGTTATTCAGTTCAGCATGCTGCTGGGAATGCTCACAGCAATCAAGTGTTCGGTTAAATGTGAGGAGCTGACAGCAGACACTATTTATACACACACTATGCTGCTTCCCTTGAGGAGACTGCCAATTATGCTGAACTATTTTGTGTCTTTCCAAGAGGAAAAAAGGGCCTACACACTTATTAGCAAATAACCTTATACTTGACATAAGGAAGTGTTTGGCCCTACATCTATGGAGAATTGCAAAAGTATTAAAGCAAAAATTATTAGGACTGTTTTTAAAAATATGTGGTGAATGGACTATTAAAACACAATTTGTTTCAAGCTGCCCTAGATATCACTTGATTAACACTCAATAAAAATTAAAAAAATACATTACAATGAAAAGACTCAGATTTGTTTTTTTTTAAATGCAGTAACTTTTTGCTTGTCACTCTCCCTTCATGTAAAGGTTGAGAACTAAGGCTCAATAGGAATATGAAACCAAATGTATTCACTTTGAGTTCTGACGTGATAAGGCATAAATGATGCTTTATTCTCAAAGACTTTGGTGTTAGAAGTGGAGTATAAATCTAGTTTGTTTGAGGAAATAAAGTTGTGTTTTGCTCAGACACAACTGTCTTTTGATTAGGATGCAGATGAAATAATTGTGTGTGTTCAGTTGATCAGTTTAATAACATAATTAATACAGTAGCCAACACCAGATGTTTCAGAGGAAGACGCAAGAAAACTGCAGCAGGCAGTTATGAGAGAATCTGCCTCCAGAAATACTCCCTCCTAACCCTCAGTAGTTAGAAATTGGCTTAAGCCCTTCCAAAACTGTTTGGTGGCTTTTCTTGGTTCATTTATTTAGTGTTTACTACTGTGATTCTAGATTTTTCTTGTTATCCATACAAAAAATTGCTAATTTCATTTTGAAATCTGCTAAGCTTTTTGCCTCAATGATCTCTTGTGGGAATAGATTCCATATCGAATTATACATTGTATGAAAAACTATCTGCCACCTGTTTTTAAAGGGACACAACCAACTTGAAAATCAGATTTTTCAAAACAAATATAAAGTTAAATGTAGCACCTAAGATAACTGGAAGAAGTTTGAGTGAAAAACTGTTTTGCTCTGTTTTTTGTTTGTTTTTGTTCTGTTTTGTGGATTTGATAGCACTTTGTGCATAGTCAATGTTGCTGTTTTCCCCTGTGTAGCCAGTCAATTTCTCTTGTGCTGAAAAGACAGTTATAAATATCAACAGGGAAACTAAAAAACATTTTAAATATCTCAAAGGATTTTTTTTTAAAAGCCATTCTCAGAAACTGGAGTATCTTTAAATTATTCTGTTTAAGATTTTCAAATAGTATCAGTTCAAATCCACCTATGTCAATACAGAATTTATCACATAATTTACTAAAGGATACTTTTTTCTTTTAGCTTAGGAAAAAATCTAAAACCATCCTTGTGTAAAACCAAATCCCACATTGTGGATTTTCTTAGTTGTTCATTACCACTGTTACTTCAATTGTAAAACAGTTTTTTAGAGAACTGAAAGGAGAAAATATACATGGACACAATCATTAAATATACTTTCCTTCTGTATTCTTCTTTAAGTGATCTAGCGGATGTCTGAAAGTTGACTTGAGCATAAGCAGTGAGATGTTTTCCCATTTGGGGTCTGTGAGGAGGTAAGACTGATTGCCAAATTAATCTACCCTTTAACTTTGTAATTAAAAACTGGAGGTTTTGTGTTTCAGAGAAAAATTGAAAAATATTAATCGGTCATTTGTTATCCATGTGCCGTTTTTACCACAATAGCTGCAATAAACATTCAGTCATCCAATGGAGGATGAGTTGTCAGACACAGGCTAAACAGAACATAGGTTTGAGTATGGCCTTGTGAAATAAGGTGATATAACAAAGCTAAAATTAAATATCCAAAATATAACTGAATTCTTATGCTATTAAAGTTCAGTATTACAGATAAAGTGAACTGTAAGGATAAAGTAAATTACTTTTACCAAAGATATTCAATGTGAAAACTACAGGAAAAAGTTGAGTTTAATAGATTTTGACACCAATCTTCAACAGGGGGTATTATTTCATCAATAATTATGTCTTGCAATCCTATTGCATAACATCTTATTGCAGAGATTTTGTTTGATAATATCTTTCACAATAGTGAGACTGCCCTACTCTAGGTGGTAATGATTTTGCTTTTGAACATGAATCCCTGTCTCTTCTTATCCTCCTTAATCTGAATGCGATTTTGGGGGGAAATTTTCACTCCTTGAGCAAAAAGTCAAGGGCACCTTCTTTGCATTTTTTTCTCTAAATTCATTTTAATTTCTTAAATTGGCGCTACAGCTATGGGATGCCTCAAAGGTCTGTCTTCCATCTTTTCTGTGTATATTCTTCATTCTGTTAGGTTAATTATGGTCTGTGAGTGTTCCTCCTTTGAGTAAATTCAAAATAGGCTGAGGATCCTAGCAAAAAACTATCTTCTAACATGGTAATGTTACATATAGTAGTTTTATTTATTTTGTTTCCATCTATCGCCATTTTTCTCATTAAGATCTTGGACAAATGTGATTTGTATGTCTCAAGACATACGTTCAGTTACAAGTTTTTCCTCATAACTTTTTTTTTTTTATGTTAGCCAGAGGTAACTTTTAAAGATGGGAACAGGTAAGGTACAGGACGCCTAGGCCCTTTGCCAAGCAACTATGAAGGGGTAGGGTGCTGGCATTCTTGTATGGGTGTTGTCCATGGATCTTTTTTCAGACTCTACTTTTTTTTTTTTTTTTATGAGCTTCTAGCTAGTGGGTGTCTGATTAAATGTAAAGTACTTAAGAGTGTCTGGAAGGGAAAATCTTTCTCTTACTGTCTCAGAGCCTCCTGGTTACTGTAAAGATGGTGTATATGGGAGGGGATAAATTTTACTACTGTCCTTTCCTGAATAATAGTGGTGAAGCTGACCAGTCTTGGTAATTTCAGTCTGCTTCTTGACAAAACTAGGAGTAACAGAAGAGGTGGTAGAGTTGTCTCTCTGCCCATACAAGACTCTGTTGCTTTGGTTTTGTCAACCCCCCCCCCGAAGCCCGCAGTTTGAATCTTAAATATTCACCTACCCTTTTTTATTAGCCTCATCAGTTGTTGCTGTTGTTAACTAAAGGCAGGGCTTAAATTCAGCCAGAGCCATCCAGAACAGAGTGCTGGTAAATATTTTCAAACCTGCGGGAGCCCTGGCACCAAGCCCCAAAAAATACTTGGGAAGAATTTAAGACCTGACAAAGTGTTAGAGATACTGACAAACAAGATCAGGGTCCTTATCTCAACTTGAGAACTCAACACTTGTTTTAAAAAATTGTTAAAAATAAAATT